GGAAATAAACATATATATATTAAGAATCGTTTGTGACTTTCTGGCAACAATATTGTTTGGCAAAACTAGGATATCATTATTCTAAAACAAATTGCAGCATTTATAAGAGTATTTATAATATTAAATTTACATTATTCACTCATCATTATTTCATAAACGATATACGTGATCCTTACGCACAAATAAAATGTAACATTTTAATAAGGATATTGGATACAGGCCGTAGGAACAATTGATGCATTTAGTATTATTTTTTTTCTTAAAGCAATTTTTGTATTATTTGCTCTGAAAGAAAATATATCCTGATGTGAGTGAGATATCACATAACTTTGGATATATCCTCATCAGATGGAGCCACAGAGGCAAGCTCATTAATTCAATTACCCATGGGAAAATACAAGATTTTTTTTTAAATAAAGGTCACATGTGACAACTGATAATATCACACGGTCCAAATCAGGATGGATCTATTAGCTTTATGTACATGCGTAGGCAATAAAATACTGTACAGTAAATGTCAAAGGATGTAAATAACACTACAAAATTGATCTCCTAACCTGAAGTTCGATCGACCTTTTAATCTACCTTCGAACCATATTCTACCTGTAAAATCGTAAACTACAAATAATTTTACAGAAGTGAATCATAAACTGAACTTTTGCTATTATATCTTTATGATCATAAACTAACTTTATAACATTTTATATCTCGTAATGCGATAGCAGCTATATTAAGGATGTTACAGAAAGACATACTGTACAATTTATGAGGTCAATGATGCTGCTATACGAATTTGAATGTGAAATGAATTTGAAATGAAATCTGTGAAATTAATTTAGCATTTTTCTAAAGTTATTTACTTCTTCGCAATAAAAAAACTAACCTTATAAAGATAATTTTTTTATACTGTAATGTTTCGGTCAAAAATTTTTACGTATTTGGTATAAAAAAATTCTGATAGAATTAATTATTTCAATTTATTCAACAAGAACAAAAATTTATTTTTAAAGTATTTTAAAAAGTTGTAATTGTTTTTAAGTAAATGTATTTTTATCTTATATATCTATACCTTAAACCTAAGTGCCACCGAAATATCCAAAATATTGGCGATAAAATTAAAAATGCAAAAAATAACAACTGAATAGACCTATTAATAACAGCAAATCATCCCGCCAAGTCTTACTTTTAAGTTATGTGGCATTAAGAATGTTACTAAAGTTCAACCGTCTGTTCCCATTTATAAATAACAATTAATTAGTCCTTACTTACAAACTGGAAACAAAATATATTGCATTAAATTAATTTTATGATGCTTTCAGATATCAATAACTCTTAAACACTATTATTGTTGGTATTTAAGAATCGGTTTCCTCCTCTATCTATAAGATAATCAAGACAGATCTTACAATCATTTTATATATAATTATTTACTGTTTGCTCTGTCCTAATAATAAATTATATGTCAATAGATTTATTAAATCTATCATAACAAATGTAAGATCCAATATTTGATTAATATAGGCCTAAAACAATACCGAAGAATTTGAAAATGTCAAATTCATTAAAAATTTAAAAATAAATATCAAAAATACTTAATATTGCGAATATTGATTACAGACCATTAATGTTCTGCAATCAAAACTGATGTTTATCTAAAGAAAAATTCCTAAAGCTTTAACTCATGAATGACTTAATAACTGATCATTTATCAATCAACTGACATATCCTTTTATTGAACGATGAGAATAATTCAAATTTCATATTCTATGCTAGTAATAAAGAATTAAAATGATGCTGGCTTCAATTTTTATAGAGACAGTCGCTTAAATTATTTAGAAATGTATAAATTTTGAACATAGACTACTGTTTATGAAAATAACAGGCCTATTTTTTCCAGTGAACACTGTAATTAGAAGTATTACCGTAAGAGAAAATAGCTAAATAAACCTGAAATTTATGCCAATTCAAACATCTGTATGTATTTAGATTAATATCGGACAAGAATATAAAATCAAGAAATTATAACAGTAGTACATAAAAATTATGATAGTAGATACTCCTGAGGAAAAAAAATTCTTTAATGTTTCTTGTGACTATTAAATTTATATACCAATTTCTTAGCAGAAGAGAGCTATTAGAGTAAAAATTAAACTAAAAATAAGACATAAAATATACCAGCATCATTTGTCTTAATAAATAGGATACAGATTCTATTTAAATTTTTTTTTTTTTTGTATTGTACTGTACGTATTTTAGCATGTAAAATGAATCAGATATGCATACTTTAGTCACGGAAAATGTACTTCGCGGATTTCTATTTATTCGATGTAAACATATTTAAAAATATATCGTTAATTTTTTGCCCTTATCTCTGATACAGAAGGTCATTAAATATCTGTTTAATTACTTCGGCATTGCATGTGCAATGTGACAAATATCGGCAGGTGCTAATAACTAGTGCATTCAACTCCAGCGTATTAAATGCTAAAAGTATTATCTAAGTTAGCTATTATATTAAATTCTCTATTAATTAACGTAATGAAACTAATACATTCATATGTAGAGTTAAACACAGCTTATATAACTTAATTATTAAATGTTTTTATTGAACAAAAATAAGCGTAAATTTAAATCAATATTTTCTAGTTTAATTAATTATGAAAATTTTTAATATTTAAAAATATTTAGTCAATTATTTTGAAAAGAATTTGTTAACTTTTATTTCATAATGTTTAAACGGATGTAAATGTAGATAAAAGTAAGCTTGTACTGTATACATTTTGATACTTTTATCATTTCTGCGATATTACATTTCCTATTTTTTTCTTTTTGTTAAATGTAATGACCTATGTATATACTTCATAAAAAACAAAAGTACTGTAGTTTATTATAAATGATTATTTATATCATTCTAAGTACTGTAGGATACTTATTTTAGCAAGTTAGTTTGATATAACGAATTAATTTATAAAATTTTATATATTTAATATTGTAAAAATACACTACAATTAACATATTAATAAATAAATATATAAATAGAATGGACTTAATCTAATCATTCAATAACTTTATAAGCAAATAAATTTACTAAATTAAACCAAAACTTTAAAAAAAAAAAAGTATAATTAAGAATAATTAATGTAAAATGTATTTAAACTAAAAATAATAAATAATTATTAGCGAAATTATTATAAATGTTTCCTTTTTAAAAAATAAAATTATCAGATGGTTAACAGTCGAAATATGTGAAGGCATTTTGTTTGACTCATAGGTCATTTACCTTCTCAAGTATTTCAATACGAGTTTCAATACTGAAAATTTCTCATGATGAAATAATTCTAAAAAAAAAATAAAATAATGTTAAAATATATTTCGATATCAATGGAAATATTTGTTGATGGAAATTGTTAAACAATTGAATATTTTTAACGTTTCTTCTCACAATATCGAAGTCGTAATCAACTCATTTTGTATATTGCTTTCGTTATTTCGAAAGATGCTACTATAACTTACAGTTAGTCTTGGTAAAGAGAGAGCGATCAATTATTTGATGATAAATTGTTCAGAGAGAAATGTGTTACAATCAATTATTCGGTGAATAATTTATGCGCTGCGAATTTATTGGCGAGTAACGTAAGTGTGATTAGTTTTTCCGTAAGTAATATGTATACGATCAAAATTTTCGTAATGAATCATCAGCAATCTTTAATAAACTAAATATTACATATAAATATATAATTTACACTTAAAAAAAAATAAAACTATAGTCCTTGTCTTATGTTAGGACTTACGTATTTATTTAGTTATTTTTATTAATCATGAAATAATTTAATCAATTAATAAAAGTCTGCGTTGGTTATTTTTAATATTAATTAATATTAAAATTGAAGACAAAGTCTGTCGAAATAGTAATATTTTTATTTATTTTCATATTCCGGAATACATCTTTTTTTGCCAACTTGGCCTTTCCTTTTACGCCATTTGATCGCCTAATATTTAAAAAATAATAATTCCCTTAAAACATGGGAAAAAAACATTCGATTAAAAACGTTAAAACGCCTTCCAAAAACGGAACGGAGACAAAACAGATGTCTTCTATCTTTCCAGCCGTACAGAATTGGGACTATACTTTTTGCTTGATATGAAATTGAATTTAAAAAAGGTGACTATTTCGACAAACTTTGTCTTCAATTTCAATTTTAATTAATTTAAACATGCCTAAATTCAAGTCTTCAATTTAAAAATATGAAATAAAATAAAGACATCATTTTTAAAAATTTTAAACTTTGATACTTTATAGATTTACAATCTTACAATTATTTTAAGTATAAAATTAGACTTTGTATTTTCCTTTGTATCCTGTTTAAATTAAAATATAATGAAAAGTAAACTTGTGGTTTAAAAATCAATAAAAATTGTAAACAAAGAACTATAATTTAAAAAAAAAAAACATGTATATTTAAATGTTATATTTGATTTGTTTCTTAGTAATACAGTAAAACCTAACCAAAATGAAACCTTAATAAAACGGAAACATATCAAACCAGAATAAATATTCGGTACCACACAAGTCCGGCTTACACAGGTTTCACTGTATGTACAATACACTTGTAAACTTTGTCTTTACTCTCTGATTTCCAGTCTGGTCGCTAATAAGATTAGCAAGAAATGAACTCATTTGAGAGATCCAAAGAATAAAACAAAAATAAAACTTATTCATAAGTACTATTGAAAATCAAGGAATCACCCATAAGATAAAACGACGTATGATAATCAATTATCTACAGAAATTCTAATAAATAATGGTTACAGACCTACATTATATTTCTGAATCTAAAGGATTATAATTTATAATTATTACAATATTTCTGATATTAAAAATAGTCTACTTGCAGCAATTACAAATTGTATGTTTATGCCTTACGTAAGCTTAGTCAAGTAAAACTGAAATATTTAAGACAGACAGATGTGAGTAAGAATGAAATTATAGAAAATCTAACCTCAATATTCTACTTGCTTCAAAACGAATTATTTCAAATATGACATAAGTAGTAAATCCAACTCTTGATGTCAATAATTCATTTACATCAACATAGGAACTAGGTATAATGACGTAATAGTAATTGTTTTTAAACTAAATTTGAACAGCAGCCAGAAATGTGTTTACTTTTCCTCAGACAGTGATTGGGAAATAGTGTCCAAGGCTTTGTACCCAACATGCTTATACTTCCGACTTGGGCTAAGGACACTGCATAAAATTTTGATCAGCTTACATAAGCCGCAATGTATAGATACATTACACTGTTTAGATTTTTGTACTTCTACAAAAAAATCTGCATGCGAAATTTTTCCCAATAAAACATCTATAAATCAATATTCCGATAACTCAAAATCATTATCGCTATTGGTATAAAATTATATTCATTATCATATTATGTAATGTGTTCAATAAGACTATTCTTATTTAAATTTAATATGATAAAAATGAAAATTAATGAATTAAATATTTAAAAAAAGATTTTTATAGACAATGAGTTTATTGCTATCTTATGACTGGTCAAGTGTAAGGAATAGGCTCCAGTCCAACTTTCTTCTAAGGAATTGTTTTGATTTCTTATGTAACTTATTTATTACATATTTCTCTTTTAAAATAATAAAATTTTGAAATGACGAACAAAAATATTATATCTATCAATTATTTTTCATTTTAATAAAACGACATGAATTACTTCACAAGTCTAAAAATGTCTTGGCAGTTTAATTTACGAGAGACATGAAATTATTTTCCAGGTAGAAACATTTTCCTTACCATTCATTATAAAATAAATAAATATTTAACAATTTCAGTATTAAAACTCATCACGTTTATTATTATTATTATTATTATTATTATTATTATTATTATTATATATAAAGCCCTTATAAATAAAGAAACATTTTTTACGACGATTTAATTATGTCATAACTTTAATGAAACAGCTGACCGAAATAAGATAATGGAAAAGTACATAGGGCCTCTTCGTGACCTACTTCTATATTCATGTTTTAATATCAAATAAAACATTTCGATTTTTATTTACCTTTTTACTTTTAACGTTAGATTTTCCTGTATGTTTTCAAATATTTAAAAATACATTTATCGATTAAATGCTAATCCTTTAAAATATATAACATATTAAAACGTGGATTATTACATTAAGTTTTATTTTAATTAAATTTGATTTGATACATAAAATGCTTATAACAAAATATACAAATTTAGAAAATATAATGTCAGAATATATTTTGGGTATTTATAACGTTCGTTTTTTTTATAATACGTCCAAACAATACTTAATCAAAGAAATAAAACTAGGTCACCGTTATTTAATTTTTTTTAATAAAAAGAAACCATTTGACCTTGATGTTATGCGATGAACGAAGGAAATATCAAAGGTCATGCTGTCGTTACGATAAAGGACGTTCCATGAAGAGATAGATAGCATTGCGAGTTCACTGACCAAAACGACATTAGTATCGTTTCTCATACTTCTATGCCCCTATTGATGCAATGTTGATCTCATTTAAATGTTTGGTGTTTGGTAAAAGGGAATTTAAGTTAAACTTTTATCTAAAAATAATTTATTCTATATTTTTCTTTCTACTCGAAAATCTCTTTTAGATCTGTCTGTTCTTTCCATACAAAATCTAGGTTAGAACTAATGGCTATAATAGTAAAGCTTCATCTAACTCCAGCAGACTTGGATGTAATGGCAGTTCTTTTTATCGAAATGTGTTTGTAGGTTTTTATTTATTAAAATTCAAAAGAATTATATATTAAAGAGATAAAAGAAAAATAAAGAAAAACTGGTAATAAGGTTTCTTTTATTTTATTAAATGTTTTAATATTATAATTTAAAGTAATATATTAATGAAGTGTATAAAAGTTATGTCTACATTAGGCAGACTTATTCTATAATTTAAATGAATTATTCATGTAAAATATAAGTAGGAAAATTATAAAAGTATGAGAGACTTTTAATAACAATATTTGAATAGTAGGTCAGAGATAGCATGGCATTTTTTCTCTTATAAAATGAACAGGAAAATTTATAAATAATTATCTGATTTACATAATCAGTTAATATAATTAGTTTTTAATTTCATTCATTTATAAAAAAAAATGGAAAAATTAGTATAATTAAGTTGCTATTTTTTGCACATAATCTAACTTAAAACCTAATAGAAATTATTCTGTTTTTTCTACATAGTTATGTCTTACGTAAAAAGAAAAATGTATCACTTATTTTAGCGTACAAATAATTTTAAATGCGTATATGTTTATCTATTGTTCATTGTCTTCATCCTATCAGTTCTCAGCATCCCCATTACATAGGTTGAAGTCCTTTCCACTATCAGTAGAAGGGGTGTTGGCCATCTCCCAGACATTGATGTAAACATAGAGAAATGATGAATATTAATTTGCTAGCTTCCCATGTAATTACAAATGTAAGAGGAAAATACAGCTTTCTCTTGTTTACCATTAAATTCCATTAAAATTTTTGTTTCTAATGATAAAATGCTAATTTAGTTTATATTTCGAGAGAAAATTAATATTAAACTTTTTTTATAACGAAATTTAATTTCTGAATTTTTGCATTCTTTTTCTAGTTTGACATTTCAATTAATTCAATTTTTTCGTGTAAATAATAATCGATTATAAACTGATTTAGCTGCATTATAAAGAAAATAGACAAAATAATGAAGATAAAAATATGCAGTTTTTTTTTACATTTTACTTCATTCTCATTTATTATTACATTATTTTTATTAAACTTTTTCTATGACACAAACATCTGTATTATAATATATTTCAACATTAAAAAATTTTTTTGTATCAAATATAATTATTATATTTTTTCTGTTTCATATTAAATAGTAACAATGAGATTTTTATTCCATTATCAGGATAGCACTTTCCTTAAGAACTATTCAAATTATTCAAAAATAATTTATAAAGATGATAATAATTTTAGTTTAAAAAGTTTGTATTTTAGAACAATATTTTCTTGAAACATCATTCGTATTATTGTATTGATTATAAAATTAGTCGATAAGACAGCTTTACAACCAACTTATCAATGGCAAAATGTAATATTCTGAATTGCAGTTTTTCTGATTAGTACATTAGAAGTTACAAAGCATATATCTTCAAATACAAACAGCTTTTACAGAATCTTACATTTCGTAATGATCTTTAAATTTTTTATCAAATAAACATTTACTTTTTGAATTTTTGCATATAAAATATATACACTTCAATTACTTTTAGTAATACTAAATTATACAATATAACAACTCTGAAAATAGATAGTTTGATCTTTAGCTTCAAATCCTCATTTTCTAATTTTGTTTTTTTCTCCTTAAACTGGAGCAATTCGTCTTATTCTGGTCTATAATCATACATATACTTTTTAGTACTGTTTTTGAAATTATTTAAATTATCTAATTCATGAATGAATACATTGATGAAGTCAAAAAAAATCTCAATTAAATTTTAAAAATTTCATCTAGGTTTACGTATGTTATTTTCGCAAAATGTTTCAATCTCTATTAATTATTTCGTTAAATTAGTCCTTATGGACTTCCTATCAAATCTAATGGTTAAAGATATATTAAGAATTTAATCAAGAAAGTAAATATTATACAAATATGATAGTTTTTTGTTTTAACACTGACCTAAAAAAAGGGGGGTTTGATTGAATTTGTATAAAACTTGGGTTACCTATACATTTTATCAACGTATATTACCAATTTTATAATTTATTACTGATTCAAAAAAGCTTTATTGAAATTCTTAATTTCATTTTATGTTCAAATACGAACAACAAACTACATATTGAATTTCGTCAAATCAGCTTTGTACGTGCTTCTTTAGAATAAAATCAACATTGAAGTATAAATTTGATGTTGATATAATTCAGTAGATTTTTTTATATTTGGAAGTATTACATTTTTATTCATTTAAAAGCTTTCATAATAATGTTTTTTTCTTATTTTAAAACAATGTATAAAAATTATGCAACTTTTCATGACTATAATAAAATTATACATTTATTTTGTTTTGAGTCGTTGGCCTAAAATTTTATTTCAAACTTAAAGGCTAAGAAAAAAAATCGATTTTCATCCGCAGCACGTATCAAAGCCACATTATAGAATGATAGAGGTTTAATATTGATCCTTATTTAACGCTATGTGTTAGAGATGAGAGAAATTACTTGATAAGTTAATATCTGCCATAAAACTATAAAATTTTATAACATTATTCTAATCTGTATTTCTTAATAAATTTATTTCTAAATATGCATTTTTTTAAATAAAAAAAAGGAGAAAATAATGAATTACTTTAATAACTTGATAGCTATAAATTAAATTCATTACAGACTAATTCTAAGAATTTTAGTGAGTAACCAAGTACATTAAATAATTCTATCATATTAAAAAGATCAATACTTCAAAGGATATGTGACAATAATTTATAATATAACTTAATAGTTCACATGATCTAATTAAATTTACGATAAAGTACCTAGTAATAAGACAATTAAAAAAAACAAACTAAAACTGACCTAATAAAGAATTTCTTCTTATTGAATTGCAGTAGAAATTTAAAAATATTTTACATTTTTTTCTGGAAATTTGAAAACATTTTTGTTTTTTAAACTTTTAGATTTATTTCAATATTAACAATGATTTATCCACGACTTGTGAGAAAATGGGAGAAGGAAATAATATAAAATGTATGTCTATTATTAATAAATTGAAGAGAAAAATCCATAAACAATAAATAATGAGTGATTTCATAATTAATTTCGGTTCTACATAAATTAACAATATTTATGTAACTAATAAATCTAATAAATTTTGAGAATTGCTGAATCACAATAATGACGACAAATTTTTAGATTTTATATGGTGTTTTTCCATTTTAAAATAAAATATATTGACAATGTTAAATTATAAAGTTGACTTACGAAGATAAATCAATGCAACCAGGTTATCTGAAATCAAATAATATAATCTAATTTCATAACTTTACCAAGAATAAACGATTTTTCCCCCTCTTATTTTTGTACTAATAAAGTAAGGATCAATTTCATTTAAATTTTGACATTTATTATATATTCTTGTCACTTGGTACACTTTTCACTATTCTACTCATCAACACAAATAAAATTTATTATAGGAAATAAAATAATAGCTATAATCTAATCTAATTGGGGAAATGGGTGGCCGAATTAATGAGCTCTTGGAAAATTCAGAAAGTTTTGTATTGCACTGTATTATTCTTCAGATAACGAGTGTCGTGTAGCTCGGTTTAGAATCTTATAATGTACAAAAACAATTAATAAATTGATTGTA